GACCATATTGGCTGAGACCCAGGACACACACTGCACCCACAATCAGGATGGGTCCCACAGGGAACACAGCAGCTGTGAGAGGGAGAGGTAAGTGCCCTCAGAGGGACCACATCAGACGGGCATTTCATTGAAGTATGGCCTATACAGTTGTCTTCTTCAACTCTGTAATGGACTAGAACCTCTTGGGAAATTGGTGCTCCCTCACCATCCATTCCCCACTCCAGTGAATCACAGGGCCCTCTTGATCCACTGCCATGTCTCATCTCCCCCTTTCCCTCCTAACCCATGAATCTCTCACCTGGGCTAACACAATAACAACAATAATAATAAATTCACTGCCTACCTGCTTACATTTTTGTTTGCCTTCTGTCTGTTCTCCATGTAGCAACCAGTGATTTCTTTTTAAATGCCATTTGATGAGGTTAGTGCTTTGCTGAAAATTTGTCAGAGTCCCATTAATTAAAATCCAAGTGCTATATGCCTGCCTCTCCAGCTTGATCACTGTCTACCACCAACCCCATCTCTTTGAGCTCCCTAGATTCTAATTGTCATGCTTCTGCCTGCCATAATTTTTCTACATGTTCCTCCTTCTCCTGAGTAAGTTCTTCCCTTACGTTTTGCCTCTCTCTCTCCACCCCTGCTCTCTACCCTCCCTCATCTTCAGGTCCCAACCGTGATGTCACTTCGTAAGACAGGCCTGCCCTGAGCCTCCAACATTAGATACTCTTATTGTATTCTCTACCTTCTCTTTATTGCATTGACTAGAAGTTTGACTTTGTTCGGCACCTGCCCTCTCTAGACCAGAAGCTCACAGAAGGCAGCAACCTTGCTATATCCACAGAGCTCCTGTTTGGCACCCTCTAGGCATTCAATCAATATTTGATGAATCTGATTCATTCTTTCTCATCTCAAGCCTATGCAATGTTATCCAGAAGATTCAACAAATGGCAAGAGTTACCACAGAGTTGAAATTTGCTGGTGGTCTGGCTTGGCCAGGAGTCCCCTGATTCATAGGGTTAGGTCTAGCACACAGGAAAGAATAAAGTTCACAATGATAAAGCCCTATGTGTGGTCTCACTTTAATACTTACAACAATCCATTGTGAATTCAGGGTATTGTCCCTATTTTGTAGATGAGGAAACTGATGGTCAGAGAGAGATGGGGACTCTCAAACTCACAAGGTTCACAAATAGAAGAGTTAGGATGCCCACAGAGGTCACTTAGACTCCAAAACTATAGGTCTCTTTGGAACTATGGGAAAGACAGTGGTATGCTCTGTGTGTGTGTGTGTGTGTGTGTGTGTGTGACTCTGAGTAGGCCAAAGTCAAAAAGCAAAATAAACATAAAAGTGAAATCCTGTAGGTTTCATGCTGTTAGCTGGAGCAGAGCAACAGCTCTGAAAGCACCAGAATGAAGGGAGTATAGAATTTTGGGGAGCTCAAACTTTTTATTACATATTTCAGGTTTTCCTGTTCATCGAAGTAAAATTAAGGGGTGTTGTATAGTCCTGCAGCATGAAGGAAATAAAGTCCACCTAGCCTTTCTATTACACTTTGATGGGATTTATACGTAGTAAGAAACGCAGGCATAACATTAGACAGGATAAGCCATCCCGCTCCCTTGTTTCTCCAGCTTCGACGACACAAACTGCTCTACTTCCTTTTTCCCCCTCTTACTTCAAACACAGTAAGTAAGTGTGTGTTTGGCACAAGAAGGCTCTTCAAGCAAGAGGAGTCTTTAGCTGAGGAGGCTGTGAGGGGCTGAAGTGGAAAGCAGAGCTCAAGTCAGTGTGGAGACTGGTTATTTGTGAGGCTGAGGCTGGCTTATTGCAGTGATTTCTGCTAATGTTACAGTTCGAGTTTTTTCTTTTGGTCTTATTTTAACGTATCAGTAAAGTAAATCTGTGCCCACCCCCCTATATATATGTGCCTAATGAGAGAATAACATGAGGGGGTAATGGAAGGCAAGTGCTACAGATGCACTGATAGAGAAAAGGGGAGGAAAAGACAATTCAGCCTTTGGGATTGGTGGTGCGTCCTCTATCCAATGCCTCTGGAAAGGGGCTCACCACACAGGAGTGTGTAAACTCTGAGTCAATCCCCCACTGTGTAAGCATTAGTCAGTTTGACCGAGGACCAGTGCCTGGCAAAATGTGGTTGAATTTGCAAAAGACCCAGATGGAACAAAAAAGAATCCCCAAGCTGTTAAACGAAAGGGGAAATTTAAACAAACAAGCAAACCTCACAATGTTTGGGATCACGTAATCTGGAGAACAAAAATCCTGGAATAGGGTAGAAAGGATTCTGAAGGTGGTGAATTCATTTCGTGTCCTATATATGTTGGACACCCTGGTTCCAAATGCCTGAGGAGAGGCCGGGTGAGTGATATCCCATAATCACACTTTCATTCAGATGTTCTTCAAACACCTGTTTAGTACCAGTCACTGGGTACTGTGGATACTATGGGGAACAGAGGTATGGTCTATGCCCTCACTGAGCTTAGAGCATAGTCTGAAGTAGCACAACACAATGTGACAAGTGCAAAAATAGAAGCACAGGTGCCTGGGAAGCAAAGAGTAAGACACCTGACTGGTTAGGATTCAGGAGACACTTCCAGACAATTGGGAGATCTGAAGGATAATGTCTGTGATGATTAGTTTCGCGTGTCTACCTGGCTAGCCAATAGCACCCAGTCATTTGGTCAAACACTTAATCTAGGTGCTGCTGTGAAGGTATTTTGTAGATGTGGTTGCAATCTAGTCAGTTGACTTTAAGGAAAGATTATCCGTGAGGAGGTGGGACAGGCCTCATATAATCAGCCGGAGGTCTTAGAAGCAAAAACTGAAGTTTCCCAGAAGAGAAGAAATTCAAGACTGAAGCATCAACTCTTGCCCAGATTTCCAGCCTACCGGAACTTCCCTGTGGATTTCTGATGGACTTGCCAGAATGGACAGTGTGAGCCCTTTCCTTAAAATAAATCTTTCATACACATACATCCGTGCCCTATTGATTCTGTTTCTCTGGAGAACCCTAGTAATACAAAGTCTTAGTCCTGTAAAGTTGGGGAGAGGACTGGGGAAAGACACATGAAGGAAGATGACTGTACTCAGAAAGGCCCAGAATGAAAAAGAGAAGCCAGATCGGGAAGCAAATTACATGTAACCTAGAGATTTTGAAAAGGTTTTAAGTGAGAGGATCAGATTCACATTTCAGAAAGGATATCCGATTACACTGAGAGCAGAAGTCGAGAAAAACATGTTTCAGTTCCAGCAGGAAGGAATGCCTAATAAGGAAGACATCTTTAACAGGAGACCGAGATGCTGAATCCATTCTGGAATTTAAAGAATAATCTGGCATTTTAAAGCATTGATGGCCCGGGCACGGGTTTGCAAAAAAAATTTACCACGTTCTTTTTACCATCAAGAATGTTTCTGCTCTGCCTGACCTCCTTAGGTCTGTAGCTTTGACTGGTTCCTCACGTACACAGCTTTCACTAGGAAATTCTCTTTGCAGCTGGCGAAATACTCCAGTGTGGCCAGGCAGACCTTCTGTAAGATAAACTCTCTCACACAGCGGTGGAGGGGGGCGGTGGAGGAGGTCAGCGGGGGATTCCCGCAGCGAAAGTGAGAAGGAAGAGAGAGTTTGCTCTCGGACTGAAGTTCCGCTGCATCACAAGTGTGGCGGGGGGACTAGCCAATTTCAGCTGCAGCCTGTACTCTGCGCGCTTTCTCCCCCGCTCTGCGGGTTGGGTTCCCTCACCCCTGCAGCCGCGGGTTCTCCCGCCCCCGCGCAGCAGTCCAGGAGTCTGGGCGCGGTCTGGTACCCCACCCGGCCGGGATCTCGATACGGAGATGGGAGGGAGCTCGGGGTTCACACTGATGTCCCGGGTCTCCCCCCACGCTGCTCCACCGAGAACATCTGCAACCTCTGTCCCCAGCAAAGGGGTCTTGCCCTGAGAGCCTACCGATTTTTCCTCCATTCCCTCTGCCTCCCTAACTGGCTTCTTCACCCTCGCTCCCGGTGCGTTCCCCGTCCTTTCTGGTTTGGAACCTTCATCTGATCAGAGCTCGCGGCCCAGGTCCGGCACCCCCGGAGGTGGGGTGGGAGCTGCTGGTGACTCGACAACACTTCCCCAGGCGTAGGCTGAAAGGAGCCAGCAACCCCATTACCGACCCTACTCCAGGGGTCTCCGGGACCCAGTGGGGGCACTTCTCTGTACAACCCGGGGCGGGGGGTGGGATGAGCAAGGGGAGCGCAGGATGCCCACGTGCAGGGGTCCTGGGACCCCCCGCCCCAGACCTCAGTCCCTCCCTCCGCACCGCGCTCTGGAAGAAGATGGATAGTGAGAATGGGGATGTGGGGAGGGGGCAGTATTAGTGGAAGGGGCTGAGTGGAGAAGAGGCAGCAGGTGAGCCGAGCCCCAAGGCACTGCCCCTAGGCGAGGAGGCAGGGGCGACCGCGGCGCGGGTTGGGCTAGGAGGGGGTGCGGAGAGGCGATCCCAGGCGGGGGAGCAGGGGGGAGGCGCGGAGGAGGCGAGGGAGAGGGAGTGCCGAAACGAGCGGGCGAGGGAAGAGAGCTGTGAGCCTGGAGGAGAGAGCGGCGGAGAGCGGCCGAGCCGCGGGCGGGAGGGCGCCCGGCGGCGCCGAGCCCTTGCCACACCCCCCGCCCCCCGGGGCCCGAGGGCTTTGCCGGGGGAGACGCACAAAGACATGCGAAGAGGGGCAGAGCGAGACTCGCGCACAAAGACGCCGGGGCGCACGGCCGCTCGGGCTGCTCGCACCGCCCCCGCGCCGCGCCTCGCCGGGGACCCGCCGGCGCGGAACCCGGGGCGGAGCGCGCGGCGGCGGCGGCGGCGGCGGCTGCCGGCCGGCGCGGGACCCGGGTCGCCCGCGCTCTCCGGGTGACCCGGGCCCGGCCGCAGGCGCGTGCGGGGGCGGCGGCGCCGGCGCCCAACTTGGCCTCGGCCTCGCCCTCTGCCCGGCCCGCCGGTGTCCCCTCCTTCCCGCGATTTCGTTTCTTCTCACGCTCCCCCCCCCACACCCCCTCCCGCGTCCAGCCCCGCTCTCCCCACCTTGTAAAACAAAGCCGGGGAAAATGCCTGCCCGTGCAGCTCGGAGCGCGCAGCCCGACTCTGAATAAGAAGTGAGTACAATGGCGTGTTTGTAACAGCTTCAAGTCCGTCTTTTTAAAAAAACAAAAAACAAAAAAACATTTTGAATGCTGCATGCCTCATGCTTCCCAGCGCCTCGCGGGAGAGACCCGGCTATAGAGCAGGAGGTGAGACCCCTGGGTAACCCCCCACCCCCCACCTCCGGAGCCCCGCGCTTTCCCTCCCCTGCCTGGACTGGGAGGGCTGCAGACGCCCCGCTGGCAGCAAGCGGCCGTTCTCCACCTTCGTTTCCCGTCCAAGGTGTTGGGTCATAATCTCGGCTCGGAGGCAAATCGATCCCGGCTCCTCTGCTGACTGCTTCTCCCCCCCTCTCCCGCTGGTGCCTGGGGCTTTGGCATCTATCTGCCTCGGGGATGGGTTTGGGACACCTTAGGGGAGTTTCCGAAGGAGGAGGAGGGTCAGCCGTGGGGAGCAGCCGACCGGCAGGACGCATGGTGACCCTGGTCACACTTGTTGCCCGTTGCGAGGTGGGACAGGCAGTGGTGCTGAAAAAAAAAGGCTCGTTTCTCTTGCTATTGAGTCGTCAGCCGTGGCCCGGAGCTTAGAAGGCGTACCTGCGTGAGGATGGGAGACCTGGATTAAGAGGAGACTGTGATGTGCTGGAGGCAGAGGAGGGAGGTAGTGATGGTGATGACAGTGTGTGGAAGGGACGACTCTTTGATTCCTTGTTCTAAGGAGCATCTCTGCCCGGTCATACATCAGTCGATGTGGATATGGAAACACAGAGGTTCCTTCCCCATGTTAGCTGGGGAGGACAGGCTGTTGTTTTTTGTTTCCGTATTTCACCAATTGCTGTCCATTCTGTCTGCCAAATGTGCATTTATATATATTTCTGCTAATTAAAAAAAATAAGGCAGTAGCTTCAAAGAATTAAACTTCAGCAGGAAATGTATTAGCTTAGTACACACGCACAAGCTTTTAAAAACATCTTTTTCCCCCCAAAAGCATATAATTATGATGTTTTAGTGTGGCATTAGGATTTAGGATTGGGATTTGGGAGCATCAAGGTAAACAGTCTCGGTGTTCTCCAGTTCTGCAGACTAGAAACCATTGATGTGAAAAATCAGAAATCTAAGAGCCCAGAGAATTGGAGAGGAAAGGTGTGGAAAGCTTTCTTCAGAGAGATAATGTGAATTTCCTGTTATTTTCATTCCAAAAAGGGCTTAATTTTAGATTATAACCTTTATTTTTCACTCAAGACACACTAAGTCGCTTGGAGGTGGAGCCGGGTAGCCAGCCAGCAGGTGACAGTGATTTAAGCTGTAATCAGCATGTCTATTAAAAAAAAAAAAAGTTTTTTCATTAAAACATTGAACACACGGTGCTAATTTTGAGTAAAGTTGCCATTATACCTATAAAGGTGTTATATGTTATATTTAGCTATGTTAAAGGTGTCTACTAGCTCGTGGCTTTATTCTGAGCAGGTGGCTGTGTCAGGAGGGTGTTCATACCTCTGTATGGCAGGTTGAACCATAGGAAGGTGCTGTATGTATGTGGAATCTCCACTGGGGGCCATGGCCACAGTTACTCCATCAGAGCTCTGACTTCATCTCTTGAAATTCAGAGCCATTCAGGGCTTTGCTGGTTTGAGGAGCCAGCCCTCTGTTATCTGCCATCATAGTACAACACTGCTTTGGTCTCGGGCCTGAAATAGCTTTGTTTGCAAAGCTTCTTTGTGACTGAAGATTTATGAACTCAAACTCGTCCTAACGTTTAACTCACAGTGGTGGTCAAGAGGGCAGGGTATGTAGCCCTGTGAAAACTGACACTTTCCATTCTCTTCTCTTTCTCAAGTAATTTCCGGTTCCTGTAAGGGTATTTGAATTCAGTTCCATAGTGATTTCTCATATACTTACCTAGAAGTGGTCTTTTAGATTAGGTTATTATTTTATCTAACCTGTTATTATATAGACCAGAGTGATTTTACTTCTATCTATTACAATTGTGGACTCTTAAATGGATCATCCTGGTTGAGTTGGTGGTTTTTTCAAGTCCCCCTGGTTTTTATTCTTGGATGGTTGTTTTGATTTTTTTTTTTTTTGGCTCTTCTGTTAACTCTTTTGGTTCAATGTGGCCTTTCCAATCAGACATTCTGTAGTAGATGGCTTATTTCCCCCTTAGCAAGTGGAAGTCTAGTATCTTTGTATTTTCTAAGAAGAAATCCATTAATGATATTTTTGAACAGCTGACATAAATAATAAATGGATTTAGAGTCACCTCAGAGTATACGGGAATTTGTAAGAGAACACATAAAGCCACTCTAATGGAGCAATTAGCTTTGTACAGAGGATCTAAGGTGTAAGATAAGGTTTTAAATTTTTTTCCTGGATAATGTTCACTGTTGAAGTGGAAGGAACTTGTCATGTCTTGGTCGCTCCTAGGATCGTGCCAGGGAAGTAGCAATACTTTCGTTTTTTTCAAGATGCCAGGGATTGAATAACAAGATGTAGAGAATGTTTAATCATGAACCACTTTAGAGGGTAGGCCAAAAAAGAAACGATTGGGCAATTGAGTGGTTTACTTACCATCATGTTTTACCAGAAAATGACTAATGTTTTACTGTGAGCAACCATGTTTGGATCACAAATTCACTTAAAATACAGTCCCTTTATTACAATGAATTTTTGAGTAAAAATAAAAAATGTTCTTTTTGTAAACTGCTTGTGGTATAGAGGGTTAAGTTCTTGAGAGCAGGACTAAGCCATGAACCTTCTTCATGAGTATTCATGAGATCACTTAGTACCATCAAGTCTCAGGAGTTCGGTCTTTGCTGATGAACAACGGTGAACAGATGTAAATTTGAAAGTTCATTAGGAAGACCTCAGGCATCTTTTGTTTATGTTTTTTTTAAATTTCTGGCCCACCTCCTATTCCTTCCTCCCCTCTGAAACCCCAATAGCAGCAGAGAGCCGAGACCCCGCCCCTTGTCCTTGAACCTGTATCTGTGGTCCTAGATGCGATCCAGGAGGAACACTCTGGTTGGTTCCAGAGCTCCCACCAGGAGAGCAGCGGAATTCAGTCCACATTTGCTCATCCTCTAAAGAAGCCCAGCCATTACCCCTGTACCCTTCTCCGACCTAACCTTCACTCTCTGTTGTTGTCAGTGGCGGCACCTGACTTGCTGGACCCTAAATCTGCCGCTCAGAACTCCAAACCGAGGCTCTCGTTTTCCACGAAACCCACAGTGCTTGCTTCCCGGGTGGAGAGTGACACGACCATTAATGTTATGAAATGGAAGACGGTCTCCACGATTTTCCTGGTGGTTGTCCTCTATCTGATCATCGGAGCCACCGTGTTCAAAGCATTGGAGCAGCCTCATGAGATTTCACAGAGGACCACCATTGTGATCCAGAAGCAGACATTCATTTCCCAGCACTCCTGTGTCAATTCGACCGAGCTGGACGAACTCATCCAGGTAATAATGACACAGAAGGCTTGTTACCCTGCTTCCTCTCCAGGGAAAAAAGTAACAGTAGGAGGAGGATACTCATTGCACAGTGGTGCACCCGTGGGGGCCCTATTCCACTCTCTCTTGAGCACTGACTTCATTCTGCCTTGGCTGTCCCCTTTCTGCACATCTTCCCTCTTTTCTTACTTCTCTCTTTTCTTCTGCTTCTCCTTTATTTCTCCCTCTTGGTCCTTCTTGTCCTCTGCTGCTCCTTCTCTCCCACTGTCTCCCTGGTGTCTCTTCCTTTGCCCTGTCGGAACTGTCAGTGGGCACCCGGGGATGTGGGGCTGCCTTGCCGGAGGCCCTGGTGGTTAGATGATCATTGCCGACCTAGAAACATTGCTGTGGCAAATGAGTGGAAAACCCAAGGCAGAAAAGTGCTTTAGTCATGCCCCGGGCCATCATGAGACAGAAACGATGAGTTTGTGGCGTGACCTTCTTGAGATGGGTGTCTCTCATGGTTAACAAGTTGTAGCTTTCCTCTTCAACCCAGCCAAACTATCACTCTGATAACTGCCTTTTAAGGTGCCCAGAGAGAAGTGATTGATCCTTGCTTCTCTAACCCCCAGCTGAAAGCAATTTACTATTACACAGAAAAATGGAGCTTTTGAATCTTGAAAAATCATTTACATGTACTCTGTAACAGCAGAGCAGTATTTTTATGAGAAAATATTTTGTTTTAAAAGTTAATCGCAAAATGATTTAGAAGTTTCAGTTAGGCTCCTTGGAAATGGCTGTATTTTTGTAGTAGATTTCTTTTGCATAGAACAATTCATTGGCCAAACCGAGAATCTGGACAGAAGAGAGCCCCAGAATGTTCTTTCAAGGAGAGATCAGACTGGTTGTCTCAAACATTTCAAATGTACAGATATTCATTTTCTTATAGAACCTCCTTTGCTTAACTGGTGTAAGTCAAATTGGAGTAGAAATCATCTGAGTCATCATCGGAGCGCGTTTTTCCTCGTCTTATATTTGGTTTTACATCATTTGAATGAGTTGGCTTAGTAGATTGAGGGAAGAAATTCTTATTGGTTTTAATCCAGTTTCCTACTCGAAGACTTCTTCACTCTTACTGCTTTTTTGTCATGGATCCCCAAATGCTGTTCATACCCCTCTCTACTTGTAGAAAGCACGTGCAAGTTCTTATTCAAGTTTCATTGAAAGGTATCAAAGGTAGAATCCTCTAACTCTATTTTAGCTCCTACTGTCTTCAGACACTTCTGCGTCTCACCTATTTGGTTTACACTTTGAAAAGGCTCTTCAGACACTTATATACTGCATCCTCTACTGTTTTTAGCTGATGGCGACATTTTCAGTGTCGATAATGAACATGCCAGCTAATAGCGCTGTCCCACCTACCCCATTACCTGTTCCTACATAAGATCACTTTCTCTTCACTCTGTTTTTGTGCCACAGAATTTGAATAGATACTAAAATAATCTTAAAGATGGGGCACCTGGGTGGCTTAGTCAGTGAAGCCTCCAACTTCACCTCAGGTCATGATCTCACGGCTCATGGGTTCCAGCCCCATTCTGTGCCCTGTGCTCTGTGCTCTGTGTTGACAGCTTGGAGCCTGGAGCCTGCTTTGGATTCTGTGTCTCCCTCTCTCTGTACCCCTCCCCTCCTTTGTACCCCCCACCCACACAAAGAAATAAACATTAAAAGTTTAAAAAAAATCCCATTTCCCTAGAGTTTTAAAAGAAGAGCGCTAAATTATCTTGGAAGTAGCATGGGGTAAAAGCCTAAGTGTTGGGATCAGATAGGATGTGTTTTGAACTCCAATTGAGCACCTTTCTACAGGTGTCATCTTGAACAAGTAATTTTCCTCTCTAAGCCTAAAATGATCTTTCTGGAATGAGGGAAGTCTATCTATCAAAACAGGGTTGCTGTGAAGAGTAAAGAGATAATCCCTATGAAGCATTTAGGATATCATAAAGTGTTAGGTTTGTTTGCTGTTCTTAGTCTCCCTGCCCCCCTCCCCCCACTATCTGTTTATTGGGTTGAAGCGTCTGATTCAGGTAGTTGCGTTCTTGTCATCTGAAGTGGCGTGATTGGTCTTGAACAGGGAAAAGAAATGCCTGGAATTTCAGGACAATGCTGAAGGAAACCCTCTGTGGATTTGAAAATGGTCCCACTGTTCAATGCCACCTAGATTTATTCATAACTGTGAGAATACCTTGAAGTGCATGGTGGGAGAGGCGGGGAGACAATCTGGAGGTGGAGACTGATCAAGTTTGCTCTAGTGTTTTTGGAATGGATACAGACAGAGCTCAACAATGACCTAATCGTTTTCTTTTCGCCCCACACAGGAATCTATTTTAGCTTTATTAATGTTCACTGCTGATGAGAATTTTTGCTTCTTAAAAATCTCAAGTATTTTTATACTTATTCAGAAGTCATCTGTTATTTACTGTCATATCACTCATTTCATAACCCCGTGGATTTAATAAATTATTTGATTCTCTTTGAATAAAGTTTCTTCTGATAAAAGAGATGTTTATAGTGGCATGGCTTCAAGGTTCCGGATCAGTGTTTAAATAGGGAGGAAGGCAAATGAACCGGTAATCTTATATAAGAATTACATCTCATTCATACAATTCTCATAAATGTCCTCGGGTTTCTCCCACATTTATTTTCCCATTTAATCATCCCTTAAAACCTCATGAATAGGTATATTAGGCAGTGCTGTTGCAGCACTGAGGACTAGGGAGCTAACACACAGCAGCCCAGTGACTTACTGCAACTAGCATTATTAGGATGAGAGTTCAGGTTCTTGGAATCTTGATCTGCTGTTATTGCCAGGAGTCTGCTCTTTCAGGGCTTAGCGTTTTTCAGTGCTGAGAGGGGGAACCAGCTGGAGAAGTTAGAAGTTCAGTCCTCATGTTAGTAGAGAAGGAATTCTGGATTTCTGTTATGAAGAGTGAGGAAGGAGGAGGAAATGGGCAGTCAGACTATAAGGCCAATGTCAGGTACAGTTATCTAATTTGGCCCCAGGCCCCAGCATTATTAATCACACCTCTGCCCGGGCTGTGGTAACTTCATACCAGGCTGTGCTTGCATCACAGGGCAAGGCAGGGGAGGGAGGGGAGAGAAGAAAACGGAGAAGTAAGGCTCATCAGAGCACCTGCTTCTGTTACCTAGTCCCAGCCCGTGCATCCCCCCTAATTGCTGTCTTGACATTGGCCCCCCAAGGCAAGATTGAGGAGGGGGCGGAGATATCAAGACAAAGGCATCTTTGCTGGGTTGAAGTATTTTGACCACTTTGATTTTCAGCATCTATTACGTTTCAGTTAGTGTGATATCAGTACAGAAAAACACATGGAAACACTCCGAAGTTTTAAAAGCCACAAATACCATTAACAATAACCAACATTTAATGAGCACTGACTATGTGCGAGGCATGGTGCTAACCTTTTCTCTGATTGTCCACTTAATTCTTAAACAGCCATATGAGGTAAGTGTCTTATTATCTGTATTTAACTTAGGTGCAAATTGAGGCAGAAGGAGCTTAATTTTCCAAAAGTACGAAGGGGTAGAGTGCACTGCTATTTAAACCTAAATGGGCACACTTCAGAGCTTATGCTCTTATTTCCTGTATTTACTACCTCTAAAAAAATTAACAAACATTAAGTTTGCTGTAAAGCTTCCTGTTATTCCACGTATCAGAATGTAATGGATGTCAAATTACAGTTCCTGGTACATAGTGATGTATATTATATAAACTCTGTCTCTATCCACATAAAAATGGAGAGTGTATAACCTGGGTTTTAATATTCTTTTCGGAGGACGCTTCCTGGTTTTCTCCTGTCTGAATGTGGCAAACCAGTAGAGGCATGGTTACATTAGATACACCTGGCCTTCAACCTCTTTATTTCCGTGTTTGCCGAATCAATTCTGGGATTAAAAAGATAGGGCAAATCTATGATATCTACATTGATAATAAAAATACTTCATGGGAGGTTTGACTTTTATTTTCTCATTTGAGAAATGAGAATGAGAAACCACCCACTGTGAGGTAGGGAGGGAGGTATTCCACCTGTTTTGGGGTGAAGAGACTGACGCATTTGCATGAGGTCATATGGTGGTCTCAGGTCTAGATCTCTTGGGACCCTCCTGCCCAGGGGATTATATTCTCTATGTGCTATTTTTCTCTTCTCAGTTTGATTTTTACTCCTTCATTCAGTAGCATTGCTTGAGCACCTCCAATGTGTTGACCTTCGTGTTAGGTATGGGGCAAGTAAAATGATGGGGAAAAACATGGCTTCTCTTAAGGCACTCCCTCCTTCAAAGTCAAGTGGAGGAGACCACTATAAACACAGCTACAGTACAAGTGCTTAGAGATTGGAGCTAGACTACTGAGGAAGAAATTAACCCCTAAGTGAGAGTTGGGAAGACACCGAGAAGAGGTAGAAGGGAAACTGGATGGTAAGTGCAGAATCAGAGTACTCTAAGGGAAGACAAGGAGATCAGTGGATGCTCTAGGCAGAAAGGACATGATGTGTTCAGTAATTGAATGATCTAGATTAAGGGACAGGGGCATCGGCAAGTCTGACAAAGCAGAGCAGGGCCTACTGTGCCGTACCAGGGAGGGGGACTTTATCCTGAGCCTGTTCACTGCCTGGGGTAGATGTGCCATTGGGGCACTGGGTTGTGTTCCTGGAATGCCAATGGACTCTAAAAACCTTTGTTTTATATTAATGACATAATCATTCATTCGTTCAAGACTATTTATTGAACTCCTGCTACGTGCATTGTCCCAGGTACAGAAATGCAGTGGAGAATAAAACAGGTGGCAGCTCTTGCCCTCGGTGTAGCTACATTCTGCTGAGAGAAGAGAGTATACTAGACAGTGTTAAGTCTCGGGAGAAAAAATAAAGTGGCGAAAAAGGGTAGGAGATGTCAGTGGTATCGGTGATTGATTTTACATAAGGTCACTGGGGAAGCTTCACTGATACAGTGATGTATGA